GCACAGAGTCCCTGTAAGCGAACGCCGACCAGTTGAAACGGATTCGAAACTCGGCAAAAAAGAATTACAATTCAGTGGGGGACTCAGTTGCCAGTTTTTACCGATACGATACCACTAATATGCACCAAACTGGTAAGTTCATCGTGATATTATAATTGAGCTCCGCTCCTGCAATGCAAGACACAAAAAATTACATACATACATATGTACATAAATATGTACATATGTACATATGTACTTGTACTTTTACAACAGTAGAATCCTATGAAGATTGTTATTCACACTGAATAATAAGGAATAACTGAACAACTGCTGGTAACTGCTGCCCCTGGGACATGCATGTGTTTAATTATCCCCCAAAATGTGGTATAGTATTATAGCATAGTACAACATAGTGGGGTGCGAGTGGTAAATTAGTGCAGCAGCGGTGCTGTGCGGTGCCGCACTAGATGTATGCACATCAGCTATATACGTATGTACATACATATGTAAATGCACTGCTGAATGATTTAACACAAACTTATTGAAGCAGTAATCAAGCATATTCCTATCAAAACTCAGAGGTCAAATGTGATTGTTTCTTTGAGCGCTTTCGCTTTCGCTGTCGCTGTCGCTGCTTCTTGAACTGGCAGATGCCCAAGACAAACGCATCGTTTGTGGACCGAACCCTGACTTAAAACAGTTCTCATCTGGACGAACAATACAGCTTTTGTTCTCGACGCAATTCTGACTCATTCCCCCCAGATTACTAGGGTGGACATTAATGCGTAATTTAGAAACTTTCAAATGTTATTCTAAAACTATTGCATTTATTTTGGATCAGCATCAATGGACGAGTCTCTGCTGCCATGTCTCCCCGTCCGTCCATCTAGTCTATGCGACCCGATCCCGATGAGTGCCTCGAACTCGGACATTATACATACGAGCTAGACCAAGCAAATTTTGTGTGCAGACTCCTGTGATATCACACTGTTACAAGAGTATTTCAAAATTTCGTTCTACCCAGCAAAAAATTAAAATCTGAGGAATACGCTGAATCATGGGGAATGACCATATCTACCAGATTGCGGAATCTGGATCAGATTGGATCATTATTATACTGCGCGGCCACAGAGAGAGAGGGAGAGAGAGAGAGAGAGAGGGAAAAAGCATGAGGAAGTCATCGGATGCAATAATATTACGTATACAATATATTTGATATTTCATATTAGCTGAGTACCAGGTATAAAGTGAAACGGAACCTTTGTCTTCTTTTATTTAGGCTACCCACCCCGTCCGCTATAGTACCATACCATACTATGTATATGTAGATACAATATTACATATTTTCATTTGAATCTACTCAGACGGGTAGGAACTAAACCGCTTTCTTCAATTCATACCCGTATTTATTTCTTCTTCTACTTCTACTCAAGCGAGGACTCATTTGCATAACTCTGATAACAGAAACAGGCCCACAGAAGATATGCGCAGACAGAAACAGAGACAAGTGGATCTGTCTGTGTCTGGACATAAATTGAACAACATCCTCGATCTGGTTGTCGTCATCGTTTGCTTCTGCGCCCGATATTTCTCGAAAGATAAACACACCTATACTTCAATCTCTAGATGGTTTGCGCTTTGGCTTTGGCTTTGGCTTTGGCTTCGGCTTCGTCCAGCAAAAACAGGAAACAACATTGTAAGGTGAGTTTTTAGCTGAGGTAACCGCCATGAGTATATTGGACTTGCCAAATCGTCATAGGTGAATTTGCGCAATGAGCGCAATGTGCGCAATGCGCTTGTGTCTCAGGAGTCCACAACGTGCAACACTCTGTGATTCGTTGCACCTGTGGTCGGTGCATGGTACCATGCCGTTGCTGGAAGCTTCCCTGCGTGGTTTGGCAGCCACGACTGCAATATGTACCAGGGCAATATGTTGCCAGGGTATGCAGGCTTCGTCTCCCTGAACCTAGGCCGCCTTTCTTGTTTTATTTTATTGATTTCTTGTATTCGCATTCACCTGTTGTTATTTTGAGTGTGTTTATTTTTGCGACGACGGAAAAAAACAGCATCAACATCGACAATACAACTAGTTTTCCATGCTGCATTCCGGTCGGCTGTCGTCTCATGTCGTCCCGGCGGATCGACGCTGTTCGTGGCGTCGCAATTCGGATTCGGATTCGGATTCGGATTCGGACTCTATCTATGTACATATATAACCCAAAACACGTTTTTCGCTGCATTTTCTCAATAGACAGACACATGCGAGCTCCAAGCTCCAAGCTCTCTCACATGCGAGTGTGTATGTATGTATGTGCATATACTGCATTCGTAACTGCATGTGTGTATTAAGTAGTACACATGCGCGGATATTTATGCATTATGCGTAACAAAACCAGGCTGCATGCTCCAGGCTGCAGGCTCCGTGCTTCAGTCGACTTATCACTGAGATGTTCGCTTTGCCATTTGCAAAAACGAAATCTCAGTAACCATTTTGGGGCAGAAACTTTTCAGTACGATGAAAATCCGTTATCACACTTTAGCAGCACTTCAGCAGCCGTAGTGCACTCCACTCGCAGTGCAGATACTTGAATATATTTTCGTAAAAGTTATTCCAGGCCCTACCACTGGCGGCCTATGCTCGTACATTTTGCGCGAAAGCAGAGGTTGAGAAATTCATAGTTACCACAGTCTTAAGACTAATAGAAATTCACGTTCACGTTTATCTTTGTAATCAAAATTGCAGCGACTATATTTCGTGAGTAAGTAAATTCAGCAAAATTGTTCGATTCATTTGCTAGTTCTTTGCGTATGCTGCCAGGTTTTCCGGTTGGCTAGTTTTACCAGCCCAGCTTGGCAGAACTGGATAAAAAACCTGTCATTCCGCCTCGGAACGAACTCTTCAAGTTACGTCTAATGATAGTGCGTGCAGTCGTGTGAGTGCCGCAGCTCGTTGGGATCTGCATGCGGGTTTGGTTGCCTTCGACGAAACGAAGTTTCTAGATACAGCACAGGCTGTAATGATAACTTTTCTAATCCTCGTAGTATGACTGACTATTCACCTGCCAGTGCTCCTGGTACAGTACAGTGCCGCATAACCAAGCGCAGATGATTTGCTCGACGACAGAGTCTGGCATTATCTGCTGTTCCGTTCCGCTGGCATTATTCGCGATTCGTTGGCTTTCAGAATATTAAATTGATCTGCTAATCCTGCACCTATGCATGTGCCTGTATCTGTATTGTACCACTACCTATGGCACTTACGTATGTCTAAATAAAATATCTACTCTTTGTGGCTCTCTACGTTTGGAATGCAGGATGCAGGATGCAGGACGAGATTGTTTTTAATTTAAGAACTCCACAAAATCGAGAAATATATTACAGCCCCACCGCAAAGGGATTGGATTGGGAGAACATTGTTCAAGTTCAATCAATACGAATTGGCGCAATCGGGTCGGGTAATTGTTGCAGCCAGCATAAATAAGTCCAGTTGATTTATATTACGTTATTATTGCCCGCAAAACTTTGAAATCAAATCTCTTCCTCTCAACTGGAGAGGAACACCAAAAACAGATATGAATACGCAGCTGACTTTGGCGTTCTTTCTTAGGTCCTAGGATATGCTCCCACATAACATATGGGAGTATTTCCCGTGGCTGTAAGCAAATTCTCTAAGACATTTTTGGATGGTATGGCCGCATGTACTCTTTGTTGTTGCATCATTATGCTGTGGAAACGCTGCGAGGAGGGGAGGCTGGGGGAACAAGTCCATCGAGGATTTCTTCTTAAGTGTGTGCTTGTGTCATTGTTTCGCCTTTGATTATCTCTTTGATGTAACCGTGGACCTTATTATAAACGCGATGGATGCGATGCCTGTGCCTGTGCCTGCAGTCACCAGTCGCCAGTCGCCAGAATTTATGGCGTTCCACGCTGACACCCCTGGACAAACAAAGCCAACAAACAATCGACAAGCGGCAACAAAAACAAATAATTTGACAGATGTACCAATATTATTAAGCCTCTCCTTGAGCAGCAGAACAGTTAGGAGTAGGAGTAGGAGTAGGAGTACTAGTACGAGTAGGAGTACGAGTACGAGTACTAGCAGCATTAGCATCAATTCAACAACTCGAGAATAGCAATGGGATAGCAATTGAATTGGATCGCAAAGAGAAGCAAAGAGAGCTCGAGCTGGTACGCGGTACGGTATCATACCGATCTCAAACATACAATCCAATCGAATTGTGTTCTTGTGTATGAGGCGCATGCGCATGGGCATGGGCAAGATGTTCCTCAAGACAGGAACGGAACTGAAATTGTAAATCACATAATGTCAGTGGACGATGAACGATGAACGATGAATTCAAAAATCATACTCAAATATTCGATTGCAATTGCATGCGCACACTGATATATCTATGCTTGTACATACATATGTATGTATGTATGCATACATGTATGTATGTCTGAATGTCTGAATGTAGATATGCACACATACATACATATATACGACAAACCAGTCTGAACCATCGAATACACGATCTGCAACTCCTTGGAGCCAGCTACTGATGAGATGTGTTGGCCCCTTTGCCACAAGTCTGAATAGCGCGAGCTTCAATTCCAGTTCCGATTCCAGCCCGAGCCCCTGTCCCAGTCCCAGTCCCAGTCCCAGCCACACCATCAAAGATCTTCTCGCGTGGCAAGTGCACCTGTCGCGGCCAATGCTTGTGTGCAGCACCAGACCCAGAGCCAGAGCCAGAGCAGGCAAGTCCAGACGAAGCCAGACCAGATTTTAGCACTGCAGGTCCGATGCAATTAGCATGTTATAAGAGTTCACAGAAGTAAACTTTTACCGGCTTTAACTGTTAAGGTTATATATGTACATATTTCGCAATGTCTTTATTGTTCGATTAGGGACGGATTTGAAGCAAATGGAAGCATGAGACAAAGGCGTGTTATTAGGTACAGGAACAGGAACAGGTACAGGCACAGGCACAGGTACAGGCACTCGGTACGGTACTCACCTATGCAATCTACAACCTGAAGGGTAGAATTCCATAAATTATTGTGAAGAGTTTCCCTTCTTTGACTAGGATCGTGCTGGATTGTGTTATCATACCTATATATTCCTATAAGTACTTGCATACATATGTACATGTATGTACATGTAAATGTATAGTTATTTTATGGCACTTTTGCATATTCACATTTGTGTTGCGTCGCGTCACATTTAACTCTTAGCTATAAGTCTTGGCACGCATGGGAAATAAATAATATCACGATAGCCGTATCTAGGGGATACCAGGAGATCGGGCATATTTACTATTTGCATCTGTATAAATGTTTTTGCGTCGAGACAGTCAGTATCGTCAGAAGCGATGACAGCAATCATTCTTACATGTACATACAGTGTACACACATACATACATACATACATACATACATACATATGTATGTACATATGCAAATAAAATCGGCGTTTCGAATCACATCGGCGTGCGTATACGCATCGAATTATTCATTTTTCGTTTTTCATTCTTTGTTTAGGTGATAAGCGCCTCGCCTCTCTATTGCCATCTCGAATTTAGTTGCTTTATGATTGTAATCGATCGAGCCATTTCCACAGCTCAAGTTCAATTCAGTATCTCAGAGTTTGTTCAGTTCATTTGTTGCGATCCATCCCATTGATGCACTACTCGTCTCGCGCGAAACCACGCACAATGCGCCAGCCCAAACGACAACTGTAACGGGAATTGTGACCAAGACGACGCGCGTTTGAAGTACCACCAACTCTGCGGCGTGGCACCGTGGCAATGTTTGTCGCCCGATTCCAATTCCAATTCCACGTCCGCAGCATCCATCCACCGAAGAGAAGAGATGAGATGAGAAGAGAAGACAAGAGAGAAACGACTGCATGTCGCTCTCTCTGAACGAAAACTGGTTCGCCTTCGGTGGCGTGGGTGGAAGAGGGTGGTAGAGGGCGGAGCTGCGCGTCGCAATAAAGAGAAGCTAAAGAGAAGCTTAAGAGAAGCGACTAACAGAGAACGAACAAAACAAACCGATGGTACTATATTGCGCTCTTAGCTGCTCTCGCCGCAACGGGGCCTATATTGTTTTTCTCACAAAAAAGGTCACTCTACAAAGTTCTGGATACAATTTTTCTGAATGAAGGAATCAATTTAGTTCTTTCACTGGCAGTTACCTTACCTAATACCTCTAGCTTCAAATTGGTACACATATCTTTGAATAATATTCAATTGGGTCAAAAGTTACGAGGCAAAAACAAAACTCCCTGGTCGCTAAAAATACATATAATTTATAATGTATGTATATAATAAATATATAAATAAATATAATACATTTTTAAATAAAATCGTATATGCTAATATTCGTATTCGTATTCTATTCGTATATATGAAGAAAATATGCATTGAAATAAGATAAACATTTTTAAGATTACTGATCCTTTCTCCCTTACAACTAATTATTGGTTCACCAGAATGAACATTTTCTTTTTATTTTATAATTGGTGAAACAAATTTATTTTCTTATTTAATAGTGGGTATTGGCTCCACGCTTTGAAATAACTTCAGCCAAGCGTTTAGGCATTGAAATTACCAAAGTTTGAGTGCTTTCTCGTCGATTTTAGCCCATAATTTTCTGAATTTAAAAAAACAAATATGTGCTTGTTGCTATTATTAACTAGTAAATGTAGAGTTTAGGATTTAATTGGAGTACTCCAGATGGTAGAATAATATTTCTGATATTTGATATTTGAATTGTTACTATAAAACAGCATTAAGTCAACTTTTTCTTCAAACATCATCTAAAAAATAATAATAATAATAAATAAAAAAATATTAATAATAATAAATAATAATAATCGATTTTCAGTCTACTTTTTGTAGTTAATTGGGTTCCTCTTCTGATAACTAAATGGTGACTTTTTTGCATTAATTTGTTTTGTTTTTCATTTTTTTAAATTAACTTAACACAGCACTTGTCTAAATCGATATATGTACATACATATGTACATGGCTCTATGTGTGTAGCAATTATTATAAAATACACAAAATTTACATAATATATATGTCTATATGTAAATATTTATATAAAATATACAATATAAAATATACTTATTTATAAAATCTGTGTGCACTCTTCACTTTGAAGTTTTCACGCAAGTGAAAAAATGTTATTTAATTTCTCTGTTTTAACAGTGAAAGTACTCTGTAATGTTAATTGTAAATCACTGTTAATGTGTCTCTCTCGTTGTTTCTGATTGGTTGCAAGAAACCAGCCAATAAACAAAGTAATTTTAATATTAACAGAGAGAGAGCTCGAGCTCTGTTACTTACTCTGTTACTCTGCTACGCTACTTACTCCCCTGTTAGCGCTAGATTTATTTAAAAGCTTCCTTGATGGTTTACAGGTTCCATCCAACATGAAATGTGATGTTCCCTGGTCATTATGAATACTCTCCTTTGCACTGATGCACTGCAAATGGATGGTCAAGGAACACGTCCCAGTGCCTTGGAACCTAGAGCATTTGCGGAACCGCTTGATTGAACAGCGCATAATGGACATCGTGCTAGATCACGCATACGGCAGCACTTTTCACAGTCATAATTGGGAGGAGCACCAGGATCCAATAAAAATGCATGACCATCTAGTCTGTATCGCGAAGGAGTTGAAGGAATTCAAACGTTTCCTTAAGCGAATGTTAGATTATTCAGCTTTTTATTGCCCTCCTTCACTTGATCCTTCTCTTTGACCGCATGCATCTTTATCTGGGCCTTGAGAACATGGCGCAGTACCTGATCCAGGCCTTTAGAGGAGTTCATGCGTAAATGGCTGGATCAGCCTGTTTGTGTGCAGCTATGCCAATCTTGAGGTCAATCTCGCACAGGTGGGCCCAGAATCAACAGAGAAAATCTCGAGCTCCTCGTCGGAGCAGCATAGCTTGGACGTGTCCGCTTCAACGTGCAGTGTCTTGTACTGCTGCTCCTGGTAATTTGTCTCTTCGAAGGGTAACTTGATCCAGATCCTCCTTTTTTGTTTGAATTTGTAGTTGAGCACCCTTTGTTTAACCGCGGAAAATAATACTGTTTGTAAAGGCTCCTTGTACAACTTGTACAACTCCGACAACTTTCCCCTGTAATGCGTAAAATATGTTAAAGTTACATAAATACCCCCCTGGTTAGCAGAAGCATGCTTGCAGAAGCAAAATGAAATGTACATATTTATTTATTTTTTACTTATTATTTTACTTATTTATTTAATTATTTAATATTTAAATAAATTTAGATAAATACATATTTACTCTGCACCAAACGTCTTGGTGTATTTCTCGTACGGACGCATGTCGATGTGTTGAAGACGATCTTCCAAAAAGGTGCGGAAATTTTGCATTTCAATCGCGTCTTCGTGTATCAGTTTCGTCTCCTTCTGGAAGCACTCTTCCAGCAGCGTCTCGCTGTTCGAAGCATTTCCCTTGATGATCGACTTGGCCAGGCGCGAACGGATTTGGTTGCATATTTTGTCGCTTTCGTAATCCATGATATTAGCCTGGGCGCGGGCCGGCGTGCGGCGCGTATTGAGAGGCTCTCAGTGGACAGACTTTTGCTTGTAGACGCGACTGGCTGCTTATTTTTGCCAGCAGCAGAGCTTCCATTGGCCCGGTGGGGATCATCTTTTTGTATCTATTGGAAGGAAAGTAAGAATAATTATTGCACTGTAAACTTAACTTAACTTAACACTTCACTTACACAGCTTTGTCCTTGACGGCCGCTTTCATGTACGCTCTTTCGAAAGCCGCTGCCATTTTCAGCAACAATATTTTGGCGCTGCGATATCGTACGGTACAGCCAGCTAGGGTCGCGTTTCAGTTTCTTGCGTTTTTTCATCGTGAACCGCACATAGCCAGTCAATGGCAGTTTGGGCGCTCCAGCGGCATTGATGCGGCGCCCAAAGAGTTTCTTGATATCTTGATCTATAGAAAAATGAATCAGGAAAACATTGTTCGAACAATGTTCGTTACTTACAAAATTCATCGCTGCTGTCGGAGCTACTTGAGCTGGAGACCGAGCTGGATTCCGAGTCCGAGCCGGAGATTAGGTTAGGGTCCTCGTGGCTTTCGTGGACTAAACGCATATGTTCTTTTGTTTTTGGTCCACTTATGCTTTCATATGGATAGTACCAAATTCACAATGACATTTTCTGTGTAATGCTAACGAATTTTTATACCCGTACTCAAAAAAGAGTTAAGGGGTATATTAGATTTGTGGTAAAAGTGGATGTGTGTAACGCAGAGAAGGAAACGTTTCCGACCCCATAAAGTATATATATTCTTGATCAGCATCAATAGCCGAGTCGATATAGCCATGTCTGTCTGTCCGTCCGTCCGTCTGTCCGTCTGTCCGTCTTGTTGAGCGCCTGGATCTCAGAGACTATAAGAGTTAGGGTAACCAAATTTGGTTTCCAGACTCATGTGATATCACACTGCTACAAGTGTATTTCAAAATTTCGCCCCGCCCCCTTCCGCCCCCACAAAAGACGAAAATCTCTGGCATCCACAATTTTAAAGATACGATAAAACTAAAAACGCAGTATCGTAGAGAATGCCCATATCTACCAGATTGCCGAATATGAATCAGATCGGATCATAATTATAGCCAGAATGAAGAAATTAATTTTCAGTTGCTTCCCCTTCCCCCTCCGGCAAACGACAACGCAACTCATTCTCCTTCTCGCTCGCACACTCTGCCGCGTTCAGTGCGCGAGCAACCCCTTGCGGAGGAGATGTAGAATATGAATGGTACATCTATAATCTACATGTTAGATGTAAAATATACATTGTAGATGTAGATGTAGATAACAGATGTAGCAAAAAAATGTAAAATGTAAAATTTTTTTTTTTTTTTAATTAAAAAATCATAACTTAACAATGTATATACTGACTGAGTACGGGTATAAGTAGAGTCGCGTCCCCAGAACGACTCAAACGTTCCTTCTCGTTCTGCATAGTTTATCGGCATCATTCGCATCTTGCGAATCCGGATTCTGGTTCGCTCTAAAAAATATAAATAAATGAAAATATAAAATATATGTTGATAGTAATTACTTACTTCGCTGGAAGAACTGTCATGTCAGAGCTTGCATGGCCATGAACTTCTACCCATCTTCTAAACGTAACAGGTAGGTCTTTGTTCCATGGGCGCTCGTCCCATGGAGGTAGAGGTTGCATGTCTTGTTCATCGGCCATTGCTGAAAAAAGTAAGCAAAAACCGGCGCCGGTTTGCAGAAAATTAGTATGACCAGATAGCAGATGATGCCAACTCGGTGGAAAATGGATGGACGCAAAATGAGACTGACTTTGCGGGTAATTTTAAATTTAATTTAAATTAAAGTGGTTTCTGAAATGTATGGCTGTTGTGTGTTTTGCTAAACTTTGAAATGTAATCCAACAATATGTCCATATTTGTGCTCAATAATTGAGCGAGCACAAATATAAATATATATACTCAAATATACTCAAATTCAAATTTAAATTTTGCTCAATTTTTGAGCTCAACGGCGCCGACAACTCGACAACGACGGCCGAGGTCTTCTCAATTTTTCGGCGGCGCTGATCGCATGTCATTTGCAAGTTTGAGAAGTGTCGAGAAGTTCCTAAAGTGGTAATATTTATATATATAATTTAATTCTTTATATATATATTTTTTTTCCTGCCGTAATCCGTTCTTTTCTGTCGGCATGTGTGTGTGCATGGAACGGCATGTATTCATACATACAATACATATACTAACAATTACTATCCTGCTTTTATTTTCTTTCCAGATCAAAAATGTCGTTACATCAACATTTCCACATTGGCGGCGGCCCTGGTGGCCGTGGTGGTAAAGGCCGTGGCACCCGTGGCTTGTTGTCGCCATCGTCGTCACTGAGGCAGAGACAGGACAGAAGATCTGTCATATCAGATAGAGCATTCCAAATGATGCGGATGAGGGCCGCACACTGTTGAGGCGGCTAAGGCGGCACAACATTGCAATGCAGATGCCGGAGCGGCAGCCAATGCAGATGCCACAGCAGCACCAGGCAATACAAATGCCGGAGTAGCAGATGCACTTGCCCCTAAATTTAGCTAGGCGCTAAGTTAATAAAATAAAACCAATATATTTTTTCTTAATATTCATATTCTTAATAAAATAAAACCAATATATTTGCATATATATATTCTGCAGACTTTATGAAACTGCTGCCCCTTATCCCTTATTAGATAAAAACTCTAATATTTTCACAATGAAATTGAAACGAAGTATATCATTTTATTTTAATTTAACATATCTTAAATCTCTTTTCCACACCACCTAGCGGTAGAGATTTTGGCGCGTTTTTTTTAAAGTGGTGTCCCCAAGAGGCCTAATCCACTGCTCCACCGTCAAAATCCTACTGTACTGCCGCCTGAAAAATAAATTCATAATATATTTATTTATATTTATAGATGTTTATATATACACAAATTATTTACCTGCTGTGTCGCGGGCTTGCTTTGGCGGGTCAGTACAACCAACATGGCCACAAATCTGGACATAATGGGGATGGCAGACGGATGGAGCGGATGGTCTCGTGCCATGATCTCGGGGTTTAACCCATTAAGCTCCATCACCAGTGCGGGGAGATGGCTCTTAAAGATCTTTCCTTGTTTCTTCAATGTGTCGTTGGTGGCGAACTTCAAGCTAAATAATTCAACCCCACCCAAGGCAAATCGCCGTCTGACGATTTCCTTGATTGAGTTCAATTCTCGCTCGACTGCAGCTCTCACGGTCTCTGGACCATGAGATAGTAATATTGAAAAGTCATTGTCGACATCGAGCTGGGAGAACTGGTGATAAAAATACCAGTATCCCAGTTCGATGTCAACATGATTATATTTTTTCAAAATTCTTATCAAATGATCCTGATCCCAGACCACCGGAAAGCCTCTATCAACGGCCGTGTATAGGGCATGTTGATTAACATCGTTGCCATCGGAAATCACGCCCAACAACAGATTGTTCATTTTAAAGGCATGGATTGCATCCAGCACTTTTAAAATTGCGGCCTTCATGGTCTTCCTCCCCATCACCAATCCGACGGATCTGGGCTTCTAATAATTTAGGAGTAGATAATAGATATTGTTATACAAATGGTTAATGATTACTTACTACGACAACATACAAACAGCGATTAAAATCGCCATCGGCTGATTGTGCTGATATCACAAAAAGCTCCCAATACTGCAATTGGTCTGCTTCCTAAAAAACAAAATTTTTTCATTAATTTAATATGCCAATACAAAATTCGCTTTCCAACAAAATGTTGGCCATGATTTTTTTGGCAAAAAAAATTGTATTTGAATTAAAAAAAAAAATTTTAACAGCATCTTGCAGCCGCCAGCATGCTATCGTGAATTATGATATAAAATATTATGAAATATGTTTACTTACCCCAAGCTTGTCTATATGCAATTCATCCATTTGCAAGTAGAATGCGTGGCCATCAAAGTGTGTCAAGTTGGACAGCAAGTTGATGCATCCATCGTTCAGCTCCTTCAAATGCTTCGGCCGCTCTATGTGGGACAAAGCGGCCTCAAAAACATGCGGGCATGCATTTTTTGCATTTGTAAAGAGCTGGTCCTCTTGCTTGTTAAAAATTTGCACTGACAAGGTATTCATTGTTGAACGTTTGGAATGGAAGTGAAATTCTAAAATATTTTTTCAACTATATGTCACATACAAATGTCAGGTCCTACTCTGATGATTTCAACCAGCACTTAAATTTGTGTTTGTCAAACATCAGATGCAACGTGGAGCATGGTTCAACACCATGCAACGAAAAACCAGCCGTCTGCGTCTCTGCAGACTTTATGAAACTGCTGCCCCTTATCCCTTATTAGATAAAAACTCTAATATTTTCACAATGAAATTGAAACGAAGTATATCATTTTATTTTAATTTAACATATCTTAAATCTCTTTTCCACACCACCTAGAGGTAGAGATTTTGGCTCGTTTTTTTTAAAGTGGTGTCCCCAAGAGGCCTAATCCACTGCTCCACCGTCAAATCCAATCCGCCTGAAAAATAAATTCATAATATATTTATTTATATTTATAGATATACACAAATTATTTACCTAATCAACCACATGGGCCATGTACCTCTCTAAATGGCCCGTTACGGTGGTTGACGCCTTTGAGCAGTCTTTTTTGGGCGGGGGCGTTGGAGACCAGCATTTCCAAAAGCTTCCTTGCCTCATTGCCTTCCAGCTTTTTTAAATTGGCCTTACTAAGGCTAAGCAGCTGCGGCTGTTGTGTTGCCTCAGTCACAACAACCTGCTGTAAATGTCCATCCGGTGCTGAAGAGAAGCAACAAAAGGATGTTAGATCTACAATCGAATATTGGCTGCAATTCTCGGCTTGCTTTCGCATCTCGAACATGTCGAAAAAATGCCGAACGTTGGGACAGAAAACTCAGCTGCGACACGTTCTTCTTCTTCGTTAACTTTAACAGTTGCATTAACTGTTAACTAACAGTTGAGTAAATTCAAACAGCAGACAGCCTTAAATACTGGACGCTAGTGGCGTCTAGTAGGGGAAATTTTTTATTACATTTAAATTTACACGTAAGATACATTATGGCGCTGCCGTAAATACTGCCCTGAAAATATAGTTGCCGTACTGAAATATGTTGCAGCGCTGCCAGATCAGCAGCTCTTCGGCGCAGAAATTCAAATAAAATAATTATATTCTATTTACGCAAGTCCAGACGACTTTCGCCTTGACAAAGATATTTTTTGTTAAATCCGTCGAAATAAGGTTATAATGTAAATTTTACAGTTGTACTCAATTGAGCTCTTGTATGCACCTTTTTTCTGTTGGGTAAAGAAGCTTGCTTAAGTTCATGGCATGAATGAGCCCATCAAGAAACAGTTTATCGAGGTCCATGTGAGAGAAACTCCACTCCCTGTTGGTATGATGGTTTATGTTTCTTCAATAGCCAATGGATCTCCCGGAGCTGCTCTTCCGGAAGAGCTCGGAGCTCCGAGGTTAACTTTTGCTTTTCGTTTCGCTGAATGATTCGCTGCGGGATTCGCGAGAGAATATCCTACAAAACAATACAATGCTTACATGGAATAGCAATGTAATGCTAAACTAAATGCTTGATATTTTAACTAGTCGAATTTCGCTTTGACAAATTTATTTGTTGGGTAAAGCATAAATAAGCACCTGGCCCTCGCATAACACCAACTCGGTCTCAGTGCCAGTGCGCTCGGCGTCAGTTTCCTCTCTTGAAAGCGATGAAAATGAGGAGACAGACGACGAAAATGACCATTTTGCATATAAAAATATGCATAATCAGTTGTACTGCTGTGGTTTAGCTGTCAGTGTGTTTTGTGACACATGCAGGCAATTGTTTACTTACTTTACTTTTTATATATATTTTTATGTACACCAACCTCAAAATTGTATCTGAAATAGTTGGTCTGATCAACAACAAATAGTGAATTCGTCCGAACAGCTGTCGCAGCCCGATTTGGTTATCGAAATATACAAGAAAACCGAAAACCGACAAATCAAAATTATACTCCTGACTCCTCTGCCACTCTGGTGGATAGAGCTAGTTATACTGCCGGCTTCGAACTCGTCAAAAATCCGTTTGAATCCGTTTTATCTTTGATCTGCCAAAGCAAAGCACTATTTCGAATGCGGCAGTTTTCTGAAATATGGATATCCGACCTAACCGATTTAAAACAGAAACATTTATTATTTACGTAGTTATTTACAATATCTGGATTTTTATTAAGCTATTTTCAATTATGAACTCGGGATCGGATCTAACAATAATAAAAGACTTTTGCATTTACCTTTATGGAAATGTGTACACTTTCAGATAAGCTTAAAACCTATTAATACATACATATGGCATACGCATGTGAGTACGTGTGTGTTTCGGGGTGGGCTTATAGTTTTTTTTCCTTTCCATTTGTGTATGTACAGATACAGATACAGATACTTATGCGTATGTAAATTGTAGATTGTAACGTGCTGTTTACTTATGTGAGATTATTTCGATGGTCGGTGGAGGGGTAGTGGCCGATTTTTCCCTGGACGCCTCCAGACTAGCACGTCGAGCTGCGGCCGCCATATATGTCCCATAATATCTACTCAGAATGTGTGGATCAACATGGTTGAGTTCTATGTATGCCTTAGGAATAGCGACTCCCAGATGTGTTGAATGCGTTGAATGTATCCTTGCAGTGGGTGTGATTGCGGTGGCGGAAGCAGCAGTGGGACATTCCTCCAATGAGTTAGATTCCTCGTGTTGGCTACTACTGCTGCCCAATGATCTTGCTGCCGAACTGGAAATGGAGTAGTTGTGCGGCTCAAGATCCTCATGATCAGGATCGGCATCAAAAGATGAACGCCTACCATCGCTTAGGTACGAGTTATTGTCATCGACAGAGAACACTTGTTTCATAACCTCCGTTGTCTTTTGCGGCTCATCCGCATCCGCATCCGGGTCGAGATCAGGGTCAGGATCAAGATCAGCATCATTGCTATCATCTACCACATCAACATTAACTTCAACGTCGACATCTGCATCAACATCAGTATCAGAAACGGGTTGCTCCAATCCCACAACCACTTCACGGTGTATGGTCTGCTTTGTGATGACCGTATGCTGTGTTTGAGTTGTTGTCCGAGTAGCAGTAGCAGTAGCAGTGGCAGCATTAGTCGCTGGCGAAGACTCCTGGTCTCCAGATACGATGTCAACGATCTGCACATCAGGCGCCAGCAACGAGGCTACGTCGAACTGACGCTTTCGTGTTTGCGAGTACATGTTTGCTATTGTTGTCGTTGTCGTAGAGTTAATATATGCAATATGTTGATGAGCTTGCTGAATTGATGGTTCCAGGCAATGGGGCTGCCGCTGGATCGCCTGGACCGGATGTGATACCGAGTAATGTGGCAAAGATGTGTCTGAATTCCGATTGAAGAACTGACCGATATAGTTTTGGTGATACGGATAGCTAAGTGCGGCCAATTGTATTGTAGCCTGCGAGCTGGGCGGAGGAGGCGTTGTAAGGTCTAACGGTGGCGGACTGGGGGAATCAGTGCTGGCATCATCTACGGACAGACCCATATGCTTTCGCACCTTTCGCTGGGCCTTACGGCGCCGAAAGTCACCCTTGCGAAAATCATCCATGTTGGCCGGATGGATTGCCCAGTAATGTCCCTTGCCATTTGCACTGCGTCCCGATTTAATGAAGCAATCATTCAGCGACAGATTATGCCTGATGGAATTTCTCCAACCAGGCCCGCGGCTTCTAAAATACGAATAGTTATCCAAAATGTATTGGTAAATGTCTGAGAGGACCAACTTCATCTCCGTTGAGCTGAGAATAGCCATTGCTATCAGCCCAATATAGCTGTGCTGTGGCTTAGGCTCCTCTGGTTGAAAGATGCGCTGCGACTGGGGAAAGAGTGAGATGGTCGAAAGCGCGGTCATTCTGTTGACACCTGCACCGGTGCCCTGTGCTCCGTACGGATTCATATGCATCCAGGGCGTACTAGACCCAGCTCCAGCTCCAGTTCCATATGGCGGACAACGGAACCGTTCAATATTCAAGGCATAATTGTAAAGCTGCAATCGGTACTGTTCCAGAGCCATTGTTGTCGCTTGAGCATTTCTAGTCGAGCTATTGGGATAAATTCCAGTCGAAAGTGGTTTGGGCATGTGTCCGTTGTTAGTTGCACGGTCTCGTTCCTGGTCGGGTGTGTTCGACCGCGAGGCAGCCAAATCAGTGTGTGCCATTTTCTGCGTGGTTTAAACCTAAGATCAGCCAGGTTATCGTTTTCATTGCCTCATTCCCGCATGACCATCCGATTCGGCTGGAAAAGCAAACAAACAGAAATTTATTGTAAAGCAAAATATGTTATCTATATGAATTAATATATTGACTAAATCATCAGAATAAAATTGCATGGACAATTTGGTGGCTTTTACTTTAATGTACGAGTATGTACAATCATTTCTATGCACATATTTTTATTGCACGGATATTTACAAATCTCTAGATATGATGTGGATGCCACATGCCACATATGTACGTGCATATTTTTGTATGTAGCGCTAATAATGTGGATCACTGATAATCACATTCATATGTAGTTGTACACTGTATGCCAGAGCTCTGCCCAGCATTGCAAACCACATGAGTGTGTGCGTGCCACCACTGCTTTATGCGATTGGAGACGTTTCCCTGTGCCAATAGTCATAGTTCGATCAGCTATTATGGACGTTAGGTGAAACAAATTGAAAGGCTATAATAATTTCATTGAAGACAGTCCCCTCAGTGGTAGGGTTCCTATTATTTTGAATGAAATAAGCATAACCATTAACTTGTAATCGGGATTTAAGTGATTAGGATACATATTCGTCAGTGTGTGTTTGTGACATCTATATATGTGTTTTAGCTCCCCCCAGCGTGTTTGGTATCACAATCTAATCACAATCTTGCCCAATTTTGTGTGTTATACAATGAACAATGCCAGTAAGACGCAAGGGCGGTCAGAAAGACAATTGGAGCGGAGGGTACGTGCCTCTCTGACAGTATCAGAGAAAGTTACCGACAACGCCAACAAGTACATAGAGAATATGCATCCGCTTCGTTTCCTCGTGTCGCATTGCATACGAGCTATGGATGTGTTGCACATCAGGAAAAGTGCATCTACCTCAATTTGAGACACCATCGGATGCAGTGAACAGCTTGCTCATCGCTAATTCATGCTTCCAAATGACATCGTTCTGAGCAGCAGAAATAGTCAACAATACTGCGGATAATGGTCAACAACACAATTCCACATTTACAATCAAAGGAACAAACGAAGCACATCAGTTTTTACAAATAAACTTCATGGGTGGGTGAGGAGGACTCGCCAATCGCGTATATGCACGTTGCGGTTACCATAACCTCAATTCGGTAAAGGCCAGGCGCAGTTGGAGAGCTGGACGAACTACTGAATTAGCACAATGGAATTATTGAAATATTAGAATCACAAATGCACAAATTGGAAAGTGACAATCATGCCAGTGCCATCAATACTGATAAAGGGGAGCAGATGGTGAGCACGTGCATAGAATCACAGCTCCTCTTGTTGACAACGTTGCTGGGTTCATGGCTGGCGACCGCACGAGAAATTGTGAATTGTTCATTGCCGTCACACACATCTCATACAACGGTCTCCCATATCCGATAATTTAATGAAACATTTCAGAACAATTATCTATATCTAATAGGCGATATCATACACAAGATCATATATGTATATGTACATATGTACATGTGTATATTTATATGTATGTGTGTACTATGATCCGATACAAATCACATAAAAGACGCAGTTAAACTTCAACTAAGTTACACCTAGGCTAGGTGGTGGGGTAAATGGACTATCGGGGTATATTCACGTTCTCAAATAAGAGACAATACGGCTTTACCTGATTTTCGACTGCGGGCCACGGTCCACCACACTGTGGGGTCCAGTGGATCCCGTGCCCCCATGCTTCCGTGCCCGATACGATGTGTTGATCTTTGGTATTTATGTTAATGAGTGCTCCACTTGACGCCACTTTTGAAGTGCAGAGCCGTTTTTCTCAATTTCAAGTTTGATATAGCAAAAACACTCTTCGGATTTCAAGTACAGTGCACAGATACGAGTACGAGTATGTATGTTATTTCGAAATGCGATCGTCGTGATTCACTGAACGGAAAAAACGGACAAGGTGTGGCAGAGGCACACCACACTAAAGCATGAGTCTTTGTTATACCCCTGCAGAAATAATTTCTAATTTGATTTAATTTAATTTCCAAAGTGCAGAATTTAGCATTTTGGTGTCGACATGCGCAGTAGTCAAACTATTTCGCCAAGATTTCTCTACCCCTGTTATCAATCAGTTGAAACATAAAAAAAAATGAAATTCCTTGAACTGTCTTCGATGCTCAGAAGGCAGTATCTTGGGACACATCAACTAACAAATATCTTGAGCGCCGTGAGCGCTGTTCATGGTCGATTTAGTCAGCTCTATCTGTCTGCTTTCTTTTATCAGATCTGTTCTTTCTGAAAATTTTATATACATATATGCAAAACGTCACCCAAACCTAACATATGTACATAGATGTTTTTCATATATACATTCATGTTTTTGCACAATGAAGCAAGATAAGATAAGATAAGCAGATAAGCAAGCACATATGTACATCCATACATATGTATGTATGTACATATATGTATATGTATGTATTTCTATCGGTCTTGTAACCTACAGAACCTACTGGTCCTGGTGTAGGTCCTCGAATTACAGACTACACCGCCGCCACATCGACTTCTTATTAGCTTCAATTAAATAGCAAGTGAAAAAGCTCACATGCCCAACACTATTCTTTCTTTCGCTATATTTTGGTTTTACATACACAGATCGGATCTTCGTTTTGCAGGGAACGCAGAGAAAGCCGTTCCGACACCTGATGTTCCTACTTAGATCAATTATTGATTTTCAGCGCTATCTATGGAGCATCACATTGATCTAAGTCCATAGTGTAGCACTCACTGCGGCGACTCACATTTTACTGCGGTTAAATGTGTTTAATTGTCGATAGCCGAGTTACAACATATCTTTGGGTGTGAAAAACTAGACGGTCAAGGGAAATTGGCCAGATCAGACGATTTTGTAAGGGAATAGAATAATAGCACTATTTTGATTGAACTGGAAATGATTTTTGAGTAACAATCTGGGATTATCGATTGGAAACTGCCCAGGTCTAGCGTAACACTTCTCCCTAATGGTTGTTTTGTTCTCGTATCCTCGTACAATATTTAACGTATCGTATGAATTTATTCTTACTGAATGGATGCTAACTGGTATTGCTAAGCACATGCCAGTACACACAGAATATAATATGTAATTGTCCGCGAAAAAACGAGCACGGAGAGCGCGTCAAAAACAAGAGACCTTAAGTACGTGCGGTCGACGCGGGACTCAAACTGTGTCTGTCTGAGTCTGGCCAAAATGGCTGAGGGTTCAAAGCATAAGGGTGTCAGCGGTAACGGTACAGCTAGAACCAACAGGCCACTCCCAGTCCCGGATTTCTCGATTTTCATTGGCTCATATGCTGCCATTACGACGTGTTGTCGCTCCTAGGGTGCGTGCGCAGACTCTGGGCAGCAGGCCAGCAGGCCAGCAACATCACCTTGCTCTTTTTATCCAATGTGCCTAATAGGGCCGTCTCTGTTACGCATTTGCAAAACACATACAGAGTTTTTCCAAAGTACTTAGTTCACTATTTTGTGCGGCATGTCTATATAAATTCTCCACGGATCAGAGCACAGTACACTGGCATGAACTGCTAGTCAGTTTTAATTCCCTAGAATAGGAACTCCCCTAGTTACAAGTACAGATCCTAAGTATACATATGTATATGTACAGTTTACATACATATGTACATATTATTGTCGTGGGGCTAATCAATAGAAGAGCTTCTGAATTGCTTATTTACGTTTAAACCGCTTCGAATGTTCCCCCTTTACTGTGGTTTTTTTCACCTCTCCGCACTTTAAAACAAATAAGTCAATCGAACAGTAAGTATTGTTGAATAAATTCTATAAAATATTGTTCAAAATGTTCAAGTGTCCACACCAAGCTTTTTCCTCCACCTCTTCCTGTATTCTTTTTTAAAAAAATAACACAGACGGCGATGACATGCTATGCTACACGTAGACCTTGTATTTGTAGGACTTACATATATTATATACTAATACTTACATAGGATGATGTCGTATTAGGATGTATTTCATCTTTCTTCCCTCTTTACTGTGAGCTGACGGATGCAACAATCCTTATATACGTTTATTTGATTAGAAATTTTTATTTGAAGAGTTAATATAAAATGTTAAAAGTTCCTGTAGCGCAGAAATATTGGCCCCAATTGGCTTGATGAAGTCCGAACATTAAGACATTGCCCTCCGAGCAAAGATTATGGTTAATGTGAATTCGAATTTCGTACAAGTCTAATGGTTAATAATAAAATTACAAGCTGGGGCCTTTAGTCCCAATTAATGTAGAGTAATAATTAAAAATTTAAGCAGAAAATTGACTATACTATATACTATATATGTTTTCAGGAGTTGGGTTGGCTAAGGCTTGTAACGTGTGTGTTACTTTCAATATTTACCAACAATAATCCGTAGGGATGGAACTACTTGGTGTTAATACTTTAACATTATGCATTTAAAACAGGCCAAATTTGAAAATATCTTGATTAACATTGGGTTTCAGCGATTTTCTGTATTTTGAATAGTGATTCATAGTGATCTACAGTGTATATCGAGGGTCCCAATATCAGGAGCTGTACCTTCAGCTAAGGTGGTAATAAATAATTCAATACTAAAGGAGCTGCGATTGTCCAAAAAACACCTTTAAAGTATAATTTCACGTCACTTTGTGTTTATAAAGTTGGTTTTTCTCTAACACGAGTAGTTCATGAGGAAAATTGAAGCTATGATAGACTTAGCGCATACAATATCTTTCTTTTAATTGGGGTTAGCTTAAAAATTGTATCCCCTACAATGAATGAATGACATTTCAATGGCAATGTCTTACTGAATTTCTGAATTTCTTGAAAAGGACAAAAGAGATGAGTGCTATTTCGGTCGTATAATAGAAAATCTTGTCGACTCTTGGGAAAACATTACACCTTCAATGGGCTGCAATATCGTGGTAGAAAAATAAATGCAAAGTCCTAAACCCACTTTGCTGGGCGATTGCCGGCAATGCGATTAAGATTTGCAAAATAATCCCTTTTGTCGTTCACAACTACGTTCTCATCTTACCATGACTAGAGAACCTTTGCCTTTTCAAATTTTTGAGAAAACCTGAGCATTTTTTTCGAATCATTATTATTATTTGTTTACCACACTTTCTTTTGAAAATTTTAAGCGATTACAATGGAATGTATTATGAAGATTAATGTGTTTCCAAGGAACTCCAGCCTAATAGAAACGAAACCACTTACTGATGTCCTGTGCCTATGCTGGTCATAGCAAATGATGTTCTCTGCGTTCAAGCTTAAAACTATACTGTACATGTACATACCATATGCAAATACATCCGTGCATGGTACATAGTGCATTGGTTCAGGAATTCGCGAATGATAGCCTTTCGGAACCGATCCTAAAAATATAATACACTTTTCATGTGAAAGCTTGCTTAATACTTCCCAAGATACACAATTTTGAGGGCCTATTGGATAGCTTTTCATAATTTCGACTACTTATGTTAATTGAAGTTGAAGAACGCATTTTTTCACAACAAAAATTACGATTTTATCAGACAAACAATATTACACATTTTTTCATTTCATTATTTATTTATTGCCCTTTTTCGATAAGAGTCCTCAGTCATAAAATTTTGATTCTATTCGGCAGAATTCCCACAAAGACTTGGTAAACAGCAAAGCAAGTTAGCCATCTATGGACATAAATTAGTTGATCAAAACTATAGCAGAGCGAAGTACGAGTAGAAGTCGTAATGCGTGCAAATTGATTGATAATCACCGGTCCCCAAGGAACTTATTTCGTGAGGCCTCAACTGACAACAGGATACGCACGCAGCACAGACATATTAACGAATAAAATAAGGAACAAGGGTAGTTGCGTAGCTTTTCTTGCTCATTTTTTCAGCCGAATGTGCAAACAAGAGTACCAAAGCTCGCCGTCGGGAAATTGTTAAACGGTATTTAAACATAACAAGCAGCACCAGAGCTGGGACCGGGACAAAGGCGGGCTAATCCCAAGACGCACGCACACAACAGGAAGCAACCACAAAAATTTGTTATTTCAACAGTAACAGAGCACCAGCGACATCAGTCATGCAAGGATAACACCAACAATAAGGCGTATCAGCGCGACAAAATGCAGGGGGGACACTAATGAAATAAATGGAACAGAGCTGATGAAGTTGAATGGGGTGAATGGGGTTGGGGGAAGGGTGACTTTAAATATGGGCATATGAAGTGGGTGGTCGTTAGTGGAAGGGCAGGGACCAGGTCCTGGGCCAGGTCCTGGGCCAGGGTCTGGGCACTGCACTGGTATCTATCAAAACCAATATTCCAAGTTTGGTTACCTTTTGGCTGGCGTTTGCGCAGGTTGGCATGGAAGCCAGTGGAAGTACTCGGTGAGCTTAATCCGTTTACAACATATAAATCCCATTGGGGAATAGAAGCCATGCCATGGAAGCCTGCTAAGCTGTATATTAATAGAGGGTCTGATGATGAAGCCAAGGCCTCGAAGGCAAGTCTCTGTGCAAGTACATCCCGTCTCATCCCAACCCACAGCCTGAGACCAGGAATAATTTGTGTGTGTCTACATAATATGATTCTTTACTTTACCTAGGTCGCTTTTAATTCTTGTTTCGGCGTGGCCATGGCCTGCGGCGGTTCAAGCTCATAATGCCTGCCACTCATCAACACGTAATATCCAATCTACAGCTCCGGCCTACGCTCTACGCTCTCTCGGCAGCCAGCTCCCACTCCCACTCCCACTCACGCATGTTGCTCTCTCTGTCCTCTCTTGTGCTCTGGTGCTCTGCTCTGTCTCTCAGCTGCATTTGATTTATTTGTGTGCAACACAATAAAGGTAAAGGTAAATGTAGAGGTAAACTGTAACTGTATATGGCAATGAAGGAAAGAGATGGACGCTGTACAAAGGTGTTGGCTCTGTCTGCGGCCACAGGGTGTTGTTGCTGTTCGTGCTGCTTTTACTTGTTGTGGTTGTTTCAAAGATGGCTCTGACTGAACAAAGGCCCTTTATTCGGCGTCAATAAAGTGGTGCGTTTAACACACACCATCGATTGCCGTTGGCACGCCCCGTCCCGTCAACGATGACTTCTCATATTCTCACACTGCCATAGTTTTATCAACGAACTGAATCTGATTTTTTTTTACGCGATAAGTCGCATTGTAAATTCAAATGTGTGAAAATTTAAGAAACATTCAGTGATCTGTATCTGAACCTAATGAAAGGATGCAGGTGTGCGATTTTGTCTCACAGACCCTAATTCGATAGTAGAACCTTTTGTGTATGTATGTATGTACAAGTGGGTATGTGGTACTGTTGTGGTACCAACTGCTTTGACTGCTCAACATACATGGGGCATTTAGAATACCTTCTTACGATTTCATTTCAATTAATAGAGAATAAAGGAAAGAACAATCTTGTTAAAGTTAGTTAAAGTTAAGCTGAAACTGAAAGCGGGTTTATCACATCTTCACATAGGAGTTTGCGACAAGTGCAGTGTTTTCTGTTAAGTGCGACAAATTAGGGCATTTACATTCGAGGGTGGTGTCGTATAACTACCACCATCAATGTGATGCAGCATTACTCGTACAGCACGCCCACTATGTGAACAAAAATAACCAGCTCAATCAGATAATATGCAGGTATCTGGTTTCAAGTACGGTGCGTCGCTACCGGCAACATCTGTCGCCCCCGCCCATTTTCCAAACCAATTCGAAGCTCATATAACTTAAATTGGCCGAGAGCGCTTCATTCTCAACCCAAAGTGTAAATGGCATTTCAGCTAAATTTCTTAAACAAATACATATGTATGTATGTACATTGTGCAATAGCCACTTTCTAAGAGTATTCAAATAACGGAATTTGTGCGCATGCACAAATGTACATTTTTGACAGGAATCTTTATAAATGACTGATCAAGAATATATATGTACATTCGTACATGTATGTGGGTACATATGAAAATGTTTACTTCCCTCAAAACGGTATTCTTAACGGCTGCAATATCTATGCAACAGTTGACTAGTTACAAAATAGGATTGTCGGCGTTTTCTTGTTTTGCGAGTGCGTTTGCTAGCTCTAGTAGAACCATGGTATTAAATGAAAGAAAAAATAAGCAGCGCACATAATCGTTTTTTGCTTTTTATACGAGCACGAGTACGAGCGTGAGCATT